TGGCTTTATTTCTGAAAACTAAGGTACCCACTGGATTTTCAAAGTATAGACCTATTAGTCCAGTGCATGGATTGTATAAAATTGTGGCAAAATTGCTCTCATCCATGTTGAAAACTCTTATGCCTAGTATTATTAGTCTCCATCAAACAATTTTCATAGTAGGAATGCAGATTTCAATCAGAGCTTTACTATTCAAATGGTTATGCTGGGTGATTAAAATAGGGAAGGATGGTAGGATATTATATATTATCAGAAAGTATCAACCTATTTCTTACAAAGACTTCCTAATTTCAATCAATCGCTTTCAAACACACGGTCCGGTATATGTTCTATCATCCATAATGAAGAGCAAGTCTCACCATCTTTGAAATATTATTTGTACTACACAGTCGGCAATGAGAAAAAGGTTCAGTTTTGGACGAATTCTTGGCAAGAAAATGGGGCTCTAAAGCTTCAATTTCCGTAGTTTTATGATGTCACTGCAGATCACATATTTCAAACATGAGTGATTCGAATAATGACTCTTGGTGTTGGAACTTAACTTGGAAGAGAAACATTAGGCCTGCAGAGTTGGAGCTGTAATAATGTCTTCTTGATCTGATTCAAGGAATTAAGTTGAAGTAGAATATAGATGATTCCAAACGTTGGAAACGTACCAAAAAGAAATGGTGCTTATCCTGTCAAATCGTGCAACAACTTCATTGATAGAATTTATTACGTGGGTATTTCTTCATCTCCATCTAATTGATTATGGAAAGGAATACTTCCTTCAAAATTTAATGTATTTATTTGATTTTACTTCATGGAAGAATCTGTACCAAGGAGTTTATTGCTAGAAGACATCTAATGCATTTAGAGGAAGCAATTTTGTCCATTTTGTGCTGAAGAAATATATAGAATCTGTGGATCATCTTTTTCTACACTGTTTTGTGGTTTGGAAATTGTGGAACTGCTGATATGGTTAGGACTTACTATTATGAATGCCTAGAACAAAATAACTATTTTTTGAGTGTTACTTCCTTGTCGAAGGAAAAATTTAGCACATAGCAACTCTCATGTTGGTTTTGGTATTTTGTTAGTAAATCTAGTTAGATAGTATTAGATAATAATATAAATTATATTTTAAAATTTTATCTAATAATTTAAATTATTGGATTGAGATAATTTTTTAATATGGTATCAAAATCTTGATAATTTAATAATTATCAGTTCAAATCTCACTATCTTTATTTATTTAATAAAAATTAAGCACAATATATATAAGATCTGTTTAAGTTTCAAGTTTTACTTAAAAATATATATTAAATAATATAAATTATATTTTTAAACTTTATCTAATAGTTTAAATTATTGAATTAATAATTAAAAAAATTAATTTTTCAAAAAGAGCTTACTGAATGGGATATAATGTTTGGGATAATTCTCCACCGCCTGGCTTAATTTAAAGTTACAGATAAATGATGGAAACTTTCAGTGCAGATGATTGAACTTATTCAGAGGTTCGAAAGGCATTTTTAATTGGTCAAATAAGTAAAGTTTTATTAGTTATAGTTACAAGCATGGTTTTTGAAAATATTTCATAGTTGCTTCTTCATTTTTGGTTTTCTTTTGTAAATAGAGAGTTGTGTTTTTTTTTTCCATGCTAGTTTTCCATTGGCTTTTTTGGCAATGGCACCTATTAATAAATATGTCAAGACACTACTAAATATGAAACATTCATTTGATTAATGCCAAATTTGCAACAAGCATGAGATGATGTTGTAATTTCTAGAACCGTGGCGTAGAAGAGATATACATTGGGAATGACTACGGTGTTTAATCAAGAGTTATTTGATTAATGCCAAATTTGCAACAAGCATGAGAGAATCATATTCTCTTGGACGAAGCATTTAGTGATCTGAACACAATCAATTCTCTGCATGCTTGACACATGTGATATGATTCTAGTAAAAAAAAATATCGCAACATAGGGCAAATAATGTTGCTATAATATATATATATGTTATTACTCGTTAATTGAGGAGTTTTGATCATCGATACCATACAACATTAATTATCTTGTGATTCTTCAGAATAACAGCTATATTCTCAACAAAGATCTTGAAAGAAACTGAATGTTTAGGAGTCCTGATCCTTAACAGTCAAAACTGAAAAGCATTTTAATTAGGTGGAAAAAAGGAAACACCAGACACAAAAGATGATCAGCCCTTGGCATCACAGCACACAATACATCAGAGACTGTTTAACAAGTCATTAGGAAGGCGAATTCGACGTATATATGGTCCGAAATTTGATCCATAGCATGCAAACAATGAGACTGGATTGCATAAAAAAGAAGAACTAATGGTTTAACTGAACCATGGAGTGGAATCGGATTATTCTGATGCAATTAGCTGGGTTAGCAGCTATAAGGGTAGCAAGCAAGCCTTGGATGCTGCAGGGTGTTTGCAACTCTTAAGGAAAGTGGAGCTTCACTCCCATGCGCAGGAAGTCAAAATGATAAAAACATGATCATGTTATATATATAGATCCTTTTTCACGTTTATGAAGCATGAACATGATCATGTTTATATATATATAAGTACGCAAATATAATATAATTTCTTATATATCCCTACTTCCAGCAAGACCTGTTTGATGTAAGCGGCCACTATCCACAGTAAGAATTGTCTTGTATGTCGAAACGATTATAAAATCATTTGGGTACCTTTTTCTTGGTCCTATTGTTCTTATCCTTAATCTATATATATGAGTGCATGGATAAGAATGAAGTAATAATACAGAATTATATCTGATCTACCGGACAACGTTTGATTAATATATTTACCTTCTTTTGCTCCTTTTTAATTAGTCAATATAATAATTATCATCAGTATTAATTATTGTTTCAGATTTGAAAGAATAGTACATCACCCATCTGTCAGCGGAGAAGACTATTTACGAAGCTAAACATGTTTAATCTAGATCATACCTTGGCGAAGCAATAATTGGGGCTATGTTGAATTACACAAGTAATTAACTCATACTCGGGAACTAATCATAGACACTCGCCTTTGAACAATGGTGAAAATATTAATAACAGGCATAGCTAGATACTTTGCATGAAGGCAACAGATGTGCTGGATTTCCTCTTCTTTTTTCCAGAATTTCATAATCCCCCGATTGTGAACTTGGGTTTTTTTTTTTGAAAAAAAAATTATATGGTAATGTTTTTATTTTAACTTGAGACAAGTTTTCTATGTATATAATATATGATAGGGTACTGTCTTCTAGAAAAATGTCGATCTTCCAGCACCCAATGCAGGGAAATTAATGGTAAAGGTTTTATACCACAATAATTAATGGTTGGCTGAAGTAGGTTGGAATTGGATTTGTTTGCTTTGCACAAAACAAATTGAAGGAAGAGTGTGAAAAACAATAAAATAAGAGTAATTAATTACTCCTAAAAAACACCCCAAATACCCAATTTGCATATACAATTCGAGTGGGGAAACAATTAATTAAGCAGGGCATTTTGGAGTAGGCAACAGGGTTACATGCAGCCAATAAATATTAAAGGCCACAAAAGAACACTAGGATTTGGTACCCAACCCAATAATAACTAACAAGTGTAATTAATAATAAAAAAAGTAACAACAATAATTATATACTTTTAAAATTAGTTAATACTAGTTATTTTACTCGTGTTTTTTGTTACAGGTAAAATAATATTTAAAAAAAATAAACTTTTTAAATATGTTTTTTATAATAAAAATCTGAATTATAAATAAAAAACATATACATATATTTAATTAAATAATTAAAAATAACTTGTGCTAACAAGTGAAAAAAAATATTAACGCATCTATTTGACTCGCCTAGCTACAAGTTGAATAATTATTTTTTTAATATAAATAAATTAATATATAGGTGTTATTAACATATATTTTTTGACATCGAGTAAAAAATATAACTGTAAATAAAAAATCAATTCTTATATATAATAAAATATAGTGAAAATCATATATATTAATAAAAATATATAAGATCTAAAACTTATTTTTAATGTAATAAAAAAATAAAATAATGCTATAATTGTTACATTGAAACATTATTTCCTTAGTCTTTGTATAAGAATTTTTCAAAAAACAAAAAGTATAAAGAACAAAAAAAAATTATCAAACAAATTATAAAAGAATAAAAATAAGAACAAAAATAATGGTATAAAAAGGCTAAGTGTAAAGTGATAAATATTTCAAGTGTAAAGAATAAAAAATAATATTTTTTCTAAAAAAATATAAAGAAAGAAAAAATTAAAAAAATATTACAGAAAAACAAAGATAAAAAACAAAATGGTGATGAATAAGTCAAGTATAAAATGATAAAAATATCAAGTATAAAAAAATATTAAAAAAAGTTATTTTCAAATAAAATAAAAAATTATAAACTTGTTACCACTACAGGAAAAAACTAGAGAAAACTTCAATTGTACCATTTCTATAGTTAAAAAACCAAAAATTAGATATTTGCCACCACTATTGTTCTTACAGTCAGAAAAATGGAGAAAATCTTAATTGTTTTTCAAAAAAAAAGCTTGAAGAGAAAAACAAAAAAAATATTATAAAAAAATGATGATGAATAAGTAAAGTGTAAAATGATAAAAATATTAATATATATATATATATATATATATATCTATGTATGTATGTATTTTCTTTTTATATATATAAACTTGTTTAAAAAAACAAAAACTACAAATTTGCCACCACAACGGAGAAAAAATTGGATAAAATTTTAATTGTGTAAGTTATACGGTAAACATGTGTTTCCTTTTAATTTGTGTGTGTGCTAATCTATTGGAACCCCAATATCAAACGTGTAGTCCTAATTAAGCTACTCGGGTATAATTTGGAAGTGATGTTGCTTACGTTCATGGAGGGTATCCATTGACTTTGTAAAGCTTCAAAGTACAAATAGATAATGCCAAAACTAAACAAAAGGAAATATAATTTGTAGTAACTCAACAGCTCACTTTCTAAGCAGGGTTTAAAGTAATTCAGAGCAAACACCCTGTGCCAAGAAAACTAGCAAACCCATGAATATCTCATCTCCTTGTCGGTCATGTAACCACTGTATCTACCTCCATGGAATCCCGTATCTTTTCTTATTCAACCGAAACCTGCCAACCTAACAATTGATACATTACCCTTATCTCTTTTCCAGGCCCCAGCTGCGGCCCTCTTCTTTCGGTTTTCATTTGACAGTTCTTGCCTACAACACACTGTAATCAACAGCTTAGTTTCAGTTGTAGCAGCTTGACGATCGTCATTTATGGCGTCTGTTGCACTTGACTGACAAAATACTGCCCTCTCATTCATCACGGTTTCTTATCTCTTCTTGCCAACCATTTTAAAGACACTGCAGATTGCCAACTTTTCCAACGCAGCCTCAGCAATCAATACATTACCTGTCTGCTTTGAAATTCAAAAACCATGCATATAGCTCCCTTACATGGCTGCCGCTGTGCCTTCTTTGCCCAAACCACGCGTCTTCCCTTGCCCAAGACCATCCACCAACAACATAACCAACACAAACACAGGCTTTTTCTTTGTCTTTAATGCCTACATGAGCAAAACCACTCGCCCTTACATAAGATGAACCAAACATGATAATATATATTATATTGCCATTTTCAGTCTGTCTCAAAAAGCTTTTCTCAAACGCTATCCAGTCATTAGAAATAGAAAATGGGTGTGCCAAAACAAGTTTTGTTACTTTTTGTTGCCATTTTAGTGTGCTTTTCCTTTGGCTTTGTTTTGTGCCAAAACCAAGAGCTCTCTGTTCTTTTGGAGGTGAAGAAATCATTCGAGGGAGACCCAGAAAAAGTTTTGCATGATTGGAATGAAAGCAACCCAAATTCATGCACATGGACAGGAGTTACCTGTGGCTTGAACTCGGTTGATGGCTCAGTGCAAGTTGTGAGTCTAAACTTATCTGACTCATCACTTTCCGGCTCAATATCACCCTCACTCGGTAGTTTAAAGTACCTGCTCCACCTTGATCTTTCTTCTAACAGCCTCACGGGTCCCATTCCAGCCACTCTCTCAAATCTTTCTTCATTGGAAACTCTGCTTTTGTTCTCTAATCAACTCACTGGCCCCATCCCAATTCAACTCGGTTCCATCACGAGTCTCTTAGTAATGAGGATCGGTGATAATGGACTCAGTGGACCTGTTCCTGCCTCTTTCGGTAATCTTGTCAACTTAGTTACTCTTGGTTTGGCCTCATGCAGTCTCACAGGCCCAATACCATCCCAACTCGGACAACTAAGCCAAGTCCAGAACTTGATTTTACAGCAGAACCAACTTGAAGGACTGATTCCTGCCGAGCTAGGGAATTGTTCGAGCCTCACTGTCTTCACTGTAGCTCTCAACAATCTAAATGGATCAATCCCTGGAGAATTGGGTCGTCTTCAAAATCTCCAAATACTAAACCTGGCAAACAATAGTCTCTCTGGAGAAATTCCGACTCAACTCGGGGAAATGAGTCAGCTCGTCTACCTGAATTTCATGGGAAACCAGCTTGGAGGTTCAATCCCAAAGTCCCTAGCAAAAATGGGTAGTCTTCAGAACCTTGATTTATCAATGAACATGCTCACTGGAGGTGTTCCAGAGGAGTTGGGCAGCATGGCTCAGCTTGTTTTCTTGGTTTTATCAAATAACAATATTTCCGGTGTGATACCAAGAAGCCTATGTTCAAACAATACCAATTTGGAGAGCTTGATTCTGTCAGAGATTCAACTTTCTGGCCCCATTCCGAAAGAATTAAGGCTATGTCCATCTCTGATGCAGCTTGACTTGTCCAACAACAGCCTTAATGGATCCATTCCTGATGAAATTTATGAGTCCGTTCAGTTGACTCATCTCTATCTCCACAACAACAGCTTGGTGGGTTCAATTTCCCCTTTGATAGCAAACTTAAGCAATCTGAAGGAGCTTGCATTGTATCACAACAATTTGCTAGGCAATCTGCCTAAGGAGATTGGAATGCTTGGAAATCTTGAAGTCTTGTATCTATACGATAATCTTATATCTGGGGAGATTCCTATGGAGATTGGCTATTGTTCAAACTTGCAAATGATTGATTTCTATGGAAATCATTTCAGTGGAGAGATTCCTGTTACTATTGGGAGGCTGAAGGGACTGAATCTGCTTCATTTGAGACAAAATGAGCTTTTCGGTCATATTCCCGCCACTTTGGGTAACTGTCATCAACTAACTATTCTAGACTTGGCAGATAATGGCCTATCTGGTGGTATTCCACCTACTTTCGGATTTCTTCATGCTCTTGAGCAACTAATGCTTTACAACAATTCCCTTGAAGGTAACCTTCCCGATTCGCTTACCAATTTACGAAATCTGACCAGAATCAATCTGTCTAAAAACAGATTCAATGGTGGCATCGCTGCATTATGTGGCTCGAGTTCTTTTCTTTCTTTTGATGTCACAAGCAATACATTTGGGAATGAAATTCCTGCCCTGTTGGGAAATTCACCTTCTCTTGAAAGGCTTAGATTGGGGAACAACCGGTTTAATGGCAAAATCCCATGGACACTCGGTCAAATCCGAGAGTTGTCCTTGTTAGACCTGTCAGGGAATTTGCTCACAGGACAAATACCAGCACAGCTGATGTTGTGCAAGAAATTGGCACACATTGATCTCAACAACAACCTTCTTTATGGGTCTGTTCCATCATGGCTTGGAAATTTGCCACTGTTAGGGGAGCTTAAGCTCTTCTCCAATCAATTTACAGGATCTCTTCCTCGAGAGCTATTCAATTGTTCTAAATTGTTGGTGCTTTCCCTTGATGCTAACTTGCTGAATGGAACTCTTCCTGTGGAGGTTGGTAATCTAGAATCTCTAAATGTACTCAACCTCAATCAAAACCAATTATCAGGATCAATCCCCCCAGCCCTGGGTAAGCTGAGCAAGCTGTATGAGCTTCGGCTCTCGAATAACAGTTTTGGTGGTGAAATACCTTCTGAACTTGGGCAACTCCAGAATCTCCAAAGCATTTTAGACCTCAGCTGCAACAATCTCGGTGGTCAAATTCCACCTTCTATTGGTACGTTGTCCAAACTTGAAGCTCTTGATCTGTCTCACAATTGCCTAGTTGGAGCTGTCCCTCCTGAAGTTGGTAGCTTGAGCAGTCTTGGCAAGCTTAATCTCTCGTTCAACAAACTCCAGGGCAAACTGGACAAGCAATTCTCACACTGGCCACCTGAAGCATTTGAAGGAAACCTGCAGCTCTGTGGAATACCTCTTAATCGCTGCTCTATCTTAAGTGATCAACAGTCAGGCCTAAGTGAGTTATCAGTGGTGATAATCTCAGCAATTACTTCCTTAGCTGCCGTTGCTCTGCTCGCATTTGGACTTGTTCTCTTCTTCAAACGCAGGCGAGAATTCCTCAAAAGGGTGAGTGAAGGGAACTGCACTTACTCTTCCAGTTCTTCCCAAGCTCAGCGCAAAACACCCTTTCTGAAGGGTACTGCCAAGAGAGACTACAGGTGGGATGACCTTATGGAAGCGACAAACAATCTTAGTGATGAGTTCATCATTGGCTCGGGTGGATCTGGAACAATATACAGAGCTGAATTTCAAAGTGGAGAAACTGTAGCGGTGAAGAAGATTTTGTGGAAGGATGAGTTTCTACTTAATAAAAGCTTCGCAAGAGAAGTAAAGACACTTGGAAGGATTAGGCACAGGAATCTAGTGAAGCTGTTAGGGTATTGTAGCAACAAAGGGGCGGGTTGTAATCTTTTGATTTATGAATACATGGAGAATGGGAGTTTGTGGGATTGGCTGCATCAACAACCAGTGAACAACAAGCAGAGGCAAAGCCTGGACTGGGAGGCGAGATTAAAGATTGGTGTGGGATTAGCCCAGGGAGTGGAGTACCTTCACCATGATTGTGTACCAAAGATCATGCATAGAGATGTCAAATCTAGCAATGTATTGCTTGATTCCAATATGGAGGCGCATTTAGGGGATTTTGGACTGGCAAAGGCACTCGAGGAGGATTATGACTCCAATACGGAGTCGCATTCATGGTTTGCGGGCTCTTACGGTTATATTGCTCCAGGTATTATAGCACCTTTTGCATAAAATTATGCTACTTCTAGTTTGTCTTTTACTCCATATCATAACTAATTTTATGCATTTTCAGAGCATGCATACTCGTTCAAAGCAACAGAGAAGAGTGATGTTTATAGCATGGGTATTGTGCTGATGGAACTAGTTAGTGGAAAATCGCCAACTGATGCAACCTTTGGTGTCGATATGGACATAGTGAGATGGGTAGAAAAACATACGGAAATGCAAGGTGAAAGTGCTCGTGAGTTGATCGATCCTGCACTGAAACCACTCGTGCCTTACAAAGAATCTGCAGCGTATCAAATGCTTGAAATTGCACTGCAGTGCACAAAAACCACCCCACAAGAGAGGCCCTCATCCCGACATGCATGTGATCAATTACTACATTTGTACAAGAATAGAATGGTGGATTTTGACAAGATGAATATAGATCCTAAAGCATAACTGATGACATCTATATTTATGAAACGAAGCCAATTATTAAATTAAGCATCATTCTTGTTTTGTAGATCTTGTGCTAACTGGTCAGTCGTCAGAAGGTATCATTCTTCATTTGTTGATGCTATTTTCACTCTTGCAACCTCCCATGCACTCTTTTCCAATAAGCACGGTAGAAGCTGTTATGATTATAGCACGTTGGTAGTTTGGTGTAGCACCTATGTTGACTGAAGCAACGTTAAAATTAAAACGTAGCAACAGTTACACAAGGAATAATCCAAGGCAAAACCAAGATTTAACTTATTTCATGCGTGATCTGTTCCAAACTTTTGATCAAGCGGCAAGGTATGAAGAACCCAAAATTCAAGACAAGCATTGCAAAATCACAATAAAAACTGTATTCCAGTGGAGAAAATCACCAGATTGCTTCAAGGTATTATTGGAGATCCAAGTCCATGCTGTGCACATTATGAAAGCATCCTAAATCTCATTTGTAGCAACAGCAAGAAAAACATCTGACAAGATTTCTAGCACAGAAACAAAAGCAACGGGCTGTCTATGCCGAAGGACATCAATCCAGATGGGCTAATCATCATCTTGATCTGCAAAGGAAATGAAACTTAAATCAGTGAAGAGAACTGGAAAAAATGGCAGACATTGGAAACAGTGTGGGCTACTATAAGAATCTTGCATGAAAGTGATGACAGTGCAAAAGCTCTCCATTAACTTCAACCACAAAAAAATACATCACCCTTGCTAGGGTCCTCATCCAAACCTCATCTTTCACAGATAAACATGCCATAAGATGCCAAAACCAATGCCCGTCCTAGGGTCTTAAACTCTAAGCCAAAGAATTTTTCTAATATTACACTAAACCCACAAGATTATTTCCACCTGATGTCCTGCCAATAAGCAGATTCTGATATTAATCAAATCAGATCATATAAAATTAAAATTTGATCCATTAAATTGCATAATTATCATAATCAAATATTACCATCAGAACTATAAATAGATTTTGGACATGAAATGAGTGGATTCTGAAAGAAAAAAATATATTAACCGACTAAAAAGAATCACAAAGCATGTTGGAGAATGAAGTTATCCTCCAAAACATGATAGAGAGAGGGAAAAAAAAGCATGGCAGCTCAATCCCGCTGAAAATCAGCCAAGAGGAAACAGCCCTAAAAACACCCAAAGCATGACACAAAAAAAAAAAAAGGGAGGACACTATCCTATCCCACAACAATTGTCTTAAAGTGCAATGGTTCTGAAAAATTCTAGCCATGTACATTATACGAACTGCATGATGGTATAAAACCACAAAGTCTTACACTTTTTCCTCCTCCCAAATCCACAAAAGATATCAACATAAAATCCACTACCAGAGACTGAAGTTGGCTTCAAATTTGGACTTCACAGAAATCCACCATTGAAGATGATCAAAATGTTGGAGAATAAGTCTTACAGAATTATGTGCTCATTTTCTATTAACTGAGATCTGAACTGGCCTGGACTTAGGGTATCAGTGTTGACACATCTCAATCTAATCATGCTGGTTACACCATCTATGAATAGGTCAGCATACACCTATACTGGATGTAAGCAAAACCTGTTACAAAACTCTAGATTAACACAAGTCCAAAGCCACTCCTACAAGTTTTCAATGCTAAATTTGTAACTTTTCCATGCTTTAGAGAACACATTCTTCCTATAATCTAACATAGGAGTGCTTGCACAATGAAATTGACAGAGATATCCACATGATATGGTCATGTATTAAGTTGTCAGTGCCTCAGAGATGATCACAACAATGTATTACATTCATAGCTCAATTCTTCTAGGTAGAAACTAGGTCAAAGAAATGCCAGGGCTAGTAATCATGGATTAGTTCACCACAACGAAACTTAAAGCAAGCTCGGCTAAACGATCACTCATAATGTGCCTGCTTGGGAGGGGGGGGGTGTTACAGGGGTTTTGTCTGGTTGGATTTGGGGTGGTGCATTAAGAAAAAACATTAGTCATGTTTAACAGGAATTTAAATTCCTGTGGGGAGCATCATCTAATCTAGACTCCAAGACATTTCTCTGAATGACTTACTATCCATCATGTTTGCATGTTTCAACTTTCAAGTACAAAAACTTAGACTCGTGCAAGCTTAGGTTGTAGCAACAACCTCCATTTTCTTCCTTTCCTCATTTTATAAGTCTTCCACAATCCCCTATTTCCAAAAATTGTCTTCCCATTTTTTTCTTCCTTCCCTAAAAATCCACTTTAGAAATAATTTTTCTTCATCTCCCTCATCCACGCACACAAAAACAATATTCACGATCTTTACTATTACACTGATTAGAAAACCCCCAACACAAATGCTAATTAACAGGTTTTGCCCTAATTTGAACAATTATACTGCCCTCACAATATAATTTTTTTTTAATAAAATTGAACCCCCAATTATCAAGCACATTAGAAAAACCAAAGCTTGAGAGGATGAAAACTGAAGGCCCAATCAAAATGACGTAAGAATAGGAAAAGCAACGCAAGCCCAGAAAAGAAAAATGGCTGAAACTGGAGGATACGATCGAGGAAAGAGAAAGAGAGAGTACCGAAGTAACGGCGCTCATTGGCTTCCTTAGCTTTCTGAAGCATCTTGTCAAGGTCTTGTTCAAGCTGAGCATCCCATTTGACCAATTGATTCACAAAAACAACTCCTAATCCCATGCCCACCACATGTTCCCACGGATCTTTAAACACACACAAAAAAACAAGACCATCATCATCAAAATCAATTTCTTTTGAAGATTAAAATGGAAATCAATGATAAAAGATTAGTGATTTGTTGGTAGAAAATAATTACGGCGCATGTAAGGAAGTTTGCGGAGAGCATTGGAGTACATCTGGGTGCCCAGCCCCAACAGTGCTCCTACCACTGTTGCACTGAATACCATCTTTTTACGGTAGATTTTTCTGACAAATCTCCTCCTTTCAACCTTCTTCGCTCCACTTCACTTCCAATTTATTATTTTGAGGATTTTCTGCTTCCGTCTGTGTTTCCTTGTAACTCTCATCCAAATCTGTTCGATCTTGCCACGTTCAGTTTCTTTTTTTTTGCCCCATAAGGGAAGGTGGGCTATGGGTTTACTAAGGGCTTTGTCACTGGATATTTTCTTCGTAAAGCCCATTATTCTAAGCCGGAGCCTTGATATTGTATATATACTAACAATTAATTCGATATCACCTAACCCATTTGTCAGTACACAAACATAAGTACATTCTCAGTTGGGTCTAATTACATTTGTTACTGGTACATTTGTTTTGTTTTCTATTTTTATTTCTTAAATTTATATTTTTTTATTAAAATATTTTGTAGAAAAATTGATCCATGTAAAATATTTTATAATCAATCTTTAAATTTAATTTATTTATTAAAAAATATTTTCAGCTCATAAAATTTCATAAAATATTTTATAAATATTAATTTACTTATAATATTATCCAATTATTCCAACTATCATCTCCTTCATTATCATCTCATCATCACTTTCTTTTTTATTATTTTATTATCATCTTCTTGATTATCATTATTATGTCATCACCTCCTCTTTTTTTTCCCATTATAACCACTTTTATCGTTGCTATCATTACCATCTTTTTTATCACCATCGCCATTTTATTACTATCTTGTTACCACCACCATCACCATCTCCTGTTCACTCACCACCACCACAATCACCTCCTCCATCATCACTATTATATCACCATTATTATTAAATAAATAATTTACTTACAAAATGTTTTTCATCCTAAAATACTTTATATGAAACAAAAAAATTTAAGTTGCCAAAAATCACACATATTTATAAAGGGGGTTTTTTTACTTCATCTGTAATCTAAGTTATGAAATCAAAATAATCTTACTAAAATAAAATTAAAAAATAATCTGATTTAACTTAGATTAACTTGTTAAATTTGTGATTCTAGTAATGAGAATGAGATAACATCATAAATAGCAAATCAAAATAAATTATAAAATTTAATTCTCAATTAATTATATCAGACCAAATATTGAATGATGAGATTTGTAAAAATTTCAATTAAAAAAATAACACAAAAAATGAATTAAGTCGATATAAATTAACTTATTAAGACCAAGCAAACCCATAACTATAGAAAGACATCAAAATACTTAATTTTATTAATTTATATTTCTTAAAAATTCTAAATCTTAATCTTAAAATAAAAAAAATCCTAAGAAATAATTTTAGAGTTAATATAGAAATTCATAAAATAAATAAGAAAAATAAAATTATAAAATCAATATTTAACATTCTAAAACTACTTTTGCATTAGTTTCACTAGGCTGGAAAGAACTTCTTTCCGAGTTTAAATTATTTATAAAAAATCCAATACAGACCTCTTCGGTTAAAAAAAAATAAAATCCTCCACCATGAAAACTTTTAATATAACGTTCTTCGAGCAAATCCTCTTCAATTGAAAACTATCCTTTACCATTAAGATATACTATACAAACTTAAACCATGGTGATTTGACATCACATAACAAAAACTACTAGAAATCATTGGATTTTAATATCAAGCAACATAACCAGGAGCGAAGAATTGTAGGGTTTATTACAAGTTACAACCCTAAAAAATCCAAGTTACAACTCTGAAAAATCAAGAGCACTAACTATGTGGAGATAATAAAAATACATGATTTTTATTCATCCTAGTCTCACGTATCAAAATATTACTACAATTCTTTATATAGAAAAAAAAAACTAGAAAATTAATATTGAATAGAAAAATAAAAATAGAAAAACTATCTCATCAAATAGAAAAATAAAATTACATGGACAATATTTAATTTTCTAAAATTGTTACCGCCTCAAATAATAAGTTACACAAAGTTTCCCTCTCAAAACAAAATGTTACATTTAATGTCGTTTTTATCTTATATTGGCAGATTACATTTTTATCTCTTTAACACTGAAGAGATCTATTTTGATGGTCAAGTTTCTTTCCGATATTGAAAATTAATCATGTAGCTGTCCTGAGTGTTAAAAT